CCTTGCCCATTCAAATTCAGCCTTCCCTTACCCGCGGGTAACACGTATGGCCCCGTGAAAGTTATTTACGGGTAAGTTAATATCTCGGGAACCTCAGAGTCTAGGAGGCTGAAGTTTTAGGGTAATGACCCCCTGCCCACCCTCAACCTTGCCCATTCGAAGTAAGCCTTCTCTTACTCGCGGGTAAAAACTGCTTTCCAATGTTTGAACTATTTTTGCATAGACAAAAGTACAAACCAATGAAAATCATTAATAGGCAACCGTTCGATGGGCTGAATTGCACAAAACGCATGATCGCACCGGCTAGTCTGGTGCGCGTTGCCATTTTTGTTTTCCTCCGCTACATCCTTAAAATCTTAAAAGAACCCACCTGAATACTTTTTTTGCATCAGGATTTTTCTTCGTGCCCTCTGCCGTCGACTGCTTTTTTTGCACAATATAGTCACGTCGTGTTAACGAAATGGTACTTCGGTAGTCAATTATACCGGCAAGTTCCGTGGCAGAAATTATTGGCTGACAAAAATACTGCATCAAAGTTGAGGCAAGTTTTGAAATCTTTCCATCGATCAGATTGAGCACATCCATTGCAGAGAGTTTCTGAAAGCACCAAATCTTTCAGTAAGATTTTTTGAAAAAAGTCTGGCTCTCGCTGGGAGAGGTCAAAATGCGCATGGGAAAGAAAAATATTAAAAAAAAAAGAACTCAAAGTCATAAACCTCCACCTCAGAAACGACTTTATCAAACAGAGTAAAACTTAAATAAGATATGTTAAAGATAAATAATAAACAGCTACGCGCACCAGACTAACCGGTCCGACCATGCGTTTTGTGTAACTCAGCCCATCGAACGACTGCCTATTAATGATTTCCACTGCTTTGTACTTTAGTCTATGCAAAAATAGTTCAAAAATTGGAAAACAGTTAAAAATTTCACGCATGAAAGCTGAATTCGAAACCTTGAAGGGTGAATCTCTTTATCCCGACTTAATAGTTTACCCGCCAAAATTTTCCCGAGACCGCAGATGATACTCAAGAGCGCGCGAATGCTAAATTTGAACAGGTAAGGTCGAGCGTGGGCAGGGGGTCGTTGCCCTAAGATTTCAGCCACCTAGACTCCGTAGTTCCCGAGATATTAATTTACCCATAAAAAACTTTCACGAAGCCGTACGCATTATCCGCGGGTACGGGGAGGCTGAATTTAAATTTGCGGGGTCACACGTGGGTGGGGAACGTTACCCTAAATTTTCAGCTTCCTAGCTTGTGGTTCCCGAGTTGAAAGTTGCGGACAAGTTGCTGCGGGCACACACACACACACACACACAAACAGTGGTTTCCGAGTTGAAAGTTGCGGACAAGTTGCTGCGGACACACACACACAGACAACCCCGTAACAATCTCCCGAGTTGAAAGTTGCGGTGGGGAACGTTACCCTAAATTTTCAGCTTCCTAGCTTTTGTGGTTCCCGAGTTGAAAGTTGCGGACCAAGTTGCTGCGGACACACACACACACACAAACACACACACAGACAACCCCGTAACAATATGCGCTTTGTACTGCTGTTTTACACAGCACAATGCATAACAAACTGAAATGTGTAGGTTTCCTCAAACAGCGTTCAATCAGCCATTAGCGATAGTCTTCATCCAATACGTCATTATTCGCAAATGATTACATTTAATACCTCATTCAGTGCGGCACTGGCTGATGTTGGTATCTGCAGGATGATTTTATCGTTCATCTTTCGCAACCAGAACGTTTCATCCCAAAAATTATTCAGCATATATGTGAGGGCTCGTCTCAGCGCAGAAACTTCTTCCTTTAGAGATGGCACAATTCGTCCCTCGAAAACTTTGTCCATGGTCACGTCCTTCTAAAAATATTCTAAATTATCCTGTGCGATTGCAAAATCCTCAAGGAAAAAGCGGTAAAAAACGACCCAATTAGACTAAATTAATCAAAGCTCACGACACAGGCTTTAAAAAACCGCGAACACTGAATCCAAACGACACATAATAATTGGCCAGAGCACGAGCTGTCCGTGCGAAGATGCGTTTTTTGCATAGTTCTCCGCAATTTTTGTCGCTACCGGCATCGGTTTTCCCGGCAAATGCTTCTAGCTAAACAAATTAAGACTGGCCGCCAGAACTGTCAGGCCCCCTAAAATTCCAATCCTCCAGCTTCTCAGGTTCCCGAGCTAGCAACTTACCCGAAAAAAATTTTCAAGAGCCCGCACGTGGATACCACGCATACCCGGGCTGAGTTTGAGCTCATTAACCCCTATGCGGACGGGGAGTTTCTCCCTAAAATTTCAGCTTTCAAGCTTCTTTGGTTTCCGAATTAGCAGCTTGCTCGTAAAAAACTTTGGCAAGCCCGTACGTGGGTACCACACAGGTGAGAGCGCCCATTCTGGGGATGGAGGCCCGCAAATGCATGTAGATTAAGCTCCCAAAATTTCAGTCCCGTAGCTTTTTAGGTCTCGAGATGAATAAATGGCAACGCGCACCAGACCAGCCGGTGCGAGCATGCGTTTTGTGCAATTCAGCTCATCCTATTTATGATTTTCACTGCTTTGTACTTCAGTCTATACAAAAATAGTTCAAACATTGGAAAACAGTTAAAA